TCAGTTACCGACAAAGAACTGGTCACCGTATTTCCCAACTCAACCTCGTTTTTGGGGCTTGGGACATCTGGTTCCTTTTCTTCACTTTCCTCAGATTCCGCATCAGCCTCATCCTGCAAGATGAGAAATAAGAGTATGTCAGTATATACAACACGGGAAAGAGCGTTGATGTATTCGAAGTATTATTGGAGGCTTTCCAAATAAACATCACAGGGGTAACAAGTAGAACTTATAGCATACGTTTGGCGATGCAATCAGTGCTGGCGTTGCCCTGGGCATCGGGAGATAGGAATTCCACACCCCTGCTGCCCCAAGGCCGGGCCTTAGTTGGCCTTGTGGGAAATCCGGCCCTGGTGATAACTAAAGAACATTGGGGGTACCCAATGAAATTTTCATAGCGAGCTCAAGATTAAAAAAAAGGTATTGCAGAGTATATCATCCTGTGACAGCAACACCCGCGAGGGGTGGGGTTTAGGGTGGTGGTCGTGTTACAGAAATAGAGGTTGGGGTAGAAGAAGTAAAAGGGGAGAGGCTCTCACAGCCCACTGGGGGAAGGGGGGTCAGAAACTAGGCCATCAAAGATTGCAATTGCAAATGGTACTTGTAATAGTTTATTGCTAGAGTGATGACATGGCGGCCATTCCATGCAACCTGTCTGTAGGTTGAAGCCCAGGGAATGGAATAAACATGGTCATTGGGCCCCAAGTAGAAGGTCCCCCAGAGTGACACATGAAGAGCAGAAACAGAAAATAAAGATCGTGCCGACAGGCCGCATCCTATACGACTTGTTCTTCCCCTTTGAAGATCATGGACTCGGTTCTGATGACGATCAGCCTGGGTCTTCTCAATATTAGAACTTTACTAAATATAGTAACTAACAGATGACAAAAAAAGAGAACATTATTTCCCTCCCGTAGAGATGACAGCAAACTGAACTGGGGGCAAAACTGCAGCAGACATAGTGGACACATGCTATAGGGTGCGTTCATTTTAATGCAGCGTAGGGCAAAGCCTTCACTAGGCTCACGGGTGTAATCAGCTACCTGGAGCCACACAACTTTTCTGCACCAGGCTTCAGGAATGCGCACTATTTCCTAGCTTTTGCATAAAGGAATACACACGCCATGGGCACAGTGAAAATGTTTCACATCGTAAAACAAACCCTTGTGGGAAAAAAAAAAAGCGAGATGTGAAATCACACCACAAAAAAAGTGCACGAGGTCGCTGTGGTCCTCTGAAGACGAAGGTCCTCAAAAAAAAAACTGCTCTGGATAGCCAGAAGGTCTGCCCAGGAAGCGTGTGCAGAAACAAAGTGTGGAGTGCTGTGACCTTGTGCCGCCAGTGCCCCACACCCATAGTTTTTCTGGCACACCTAGGTGGCACAGCACCGCTGGTTCTCTGGCTTCTCAGACCCCTAGCCATTCAAACCAAGGAAGCATTAGTTACAAGGGGGCTCCGGCCTACATCTGGGGACAAGCCCAGTGCACTACCCCTAAATTAACCCAGAAGGAAAGGACTCCCCCCCCACCCTCCAGGACCTGTGTATCACTCCAGGGAATACTAATCGATCATCCCATGGTACAGGGACAACATTGTTCTTCCCCTGAAAACCAATATAAACAGATACTACACCCGATCTTATCCTAAAGGTAGGGTGAACATTTTTGGTGAGGGCCAATTCTGTATTATACAGGTAGGATAGGCTGCCCATGGGAAGGCAAATTCCATCAGTAGTGATGGGGGATAGGAAACTAAACCACAGGCAACACACTACCTCTGAACATAATATGGCTTTTTACTCTGGGAGGGTGTAGAACATCGACCTGTGCACACTGAAAAAAACCCCAAAAACTGGGGACAAAAAGGAAAGATTCTACAATGATGGCAGAAATATTCCAGCATGTTTTGACCAATAACAATCACTATGGCAAGTAATAAGCAGAAGAAAAAAGGTACATTAAAATGTTCACACCTAAAAAGGTGTATAGATGCAGTAAGGGCAGCCCCATCCCAGGGGTGAGATGGGGCAGCCCCACCCCAGGGGTGAGATGGGGCAGCTTGTGGCCACCCTTAAAACAATAAGTGGTTCTGGCTTGTAAACCCCCTTGCTCTCACTCGGTATATGGGTTGGGTGCACAAACCACAAGCACCACATCCATAAAGACACATGGGAAGACCGCTACCCTGCACTATCACGACCGAGTGGCTCCACCGCAGTCAAACACACAGTTACAACTCATCGGGTGTTCCTATCGATGATGTGGGCTGGAGAGGGAAAGGATAGAACAGGCCATGCGGTTTTATATAGAAAGAATCATAGCCTGTCTACCATGATGGCAACGCTGCGCAGGCTAGATCAGAAAGCAACTGGCAGGATCAACGGGTACGTTAGCCTCACTTAATTCCATTGCAAAAAAACAAAGGGCACACAGACACATTTAACAGGAAGACTTTCATGCAGATTAGTTTTTTAGGTTTACAGACATTTTAAATGCTGTGTGGGTGATGGACCCGGCCAACCATTCCTTCTTCTGGGAGGTACTGGAATATAGGTGTGTACCCATTCAGTCTGTTGTGTATGTCGTATGAGAAACAGCAATGGGCCCTCTACCTGTAGAAGACGCTCGGATAACCTTCAATACGGATACATGTTGCATCACTTAGACTTCACTTAATAAAGAGCTAAAGCGTAGAATCAGACTTGAAGACTGGATGTCTGGTCTCTGTTGGTACTGTAAGCTCCACTTGTATTGGCCCCAGATGATTAAACACTTGCCTGCCCAACAGCAGCCGGTATGGTAATTTTTGGCAATGGATGGGCAGTCGCTCATAGCTCTTGAAGACACTTCCACCTATGGCTAGTTTTAGATTTCACAAGCATATCATATGATCATCTTTAGTGCGATGCTAAGCGTGATATTACATACGCAGCTATAGCGTCACACATGCATGAGTAAAGCTCGTATACAACTTCCTTCCAGCGCAGTACAAGAGTGCCGCGGACCACCTGCTCCTTGCAGGCCACCATTTTCCATCTGACTGAGTGTTGCCAATCAGCAGGCACTCCCCTGTACCAGAAACTGGCAACACCCGTCTCCACTTACTCTTCTGAATTCCACTTCTGACAACTTAATGACTGTAACTGACTACTGATATGAAGTAATGCTCCCGAATGAAGAATTTTCAGTACAAACATGTTTTTTCCTCCCCCGTCCCTCTTACCGACTGAGCCAAACAGGTTTACAGAGGCGTTTTTTTGATCTTACAAAACAAGAACCCCGTGGTCACCAACTTTTGTACGTCGATAAGAAATGTAATAAGCATGGGCCAGTGCACACGGAGCCAGCAGGGCATGAAGGCAGGCTGGATGGTGCCAGCCCCAGGAAACTATTCACTTGATGGGGAAACATTAATCATCCGGAGGTCCAAGTCCATGCCAGCTTCGTGCCCCGCTACCCCTACCGCCAAACGGCACAGGCCGCCTGCTCACACATCCATGGCAACTTTATCAGCCACCGGGCTGCCAAGCTGTACTACTGGAGTTATGGGCAATTTAATCATTAAGCCAACTCCAACCTCCACATAGGATTTCCAGTACATAGAATGGGAGATCTAATGTTTGAGAATTAGTCTTCATGAAAAGAAATGTCCGTTAAAAAAAAAAAAAAAATCCTGAATTTCTATAGCGATAGAGAGAGAGAGAAGATGATTCCCTACTGCAGGTGAGGCCCCAGTGCTGCAAAACCGCTCACAAGCTGCTCCTACCATGGACTTTCTGAAGATCAAACTGAGAACTGTCCCATGCAGAGCTGTCTTTGCTGAAGCCAATGAGATGGAGATTGGAAAATACAAATACCACAACATTTGTTTGTGTCCATGTTCTGTGCAGATACCACATTGGGACAGAAGAGTTAAAAGGGGGAACTATGAGGGGGGTGATTTTCACTCAGCCTCATAGTTGGAGCCGACGTGCGACAATGAGACTGTCACAGGTCGGCTCTATAGATCGGGAAGTGAGCGAACGCATACCGTCGCTCGCTCACTTCTCGATCTATACGTGCAGAGAGCTGTGACTGTCTCACGGCTCCCTGCAGGGATTCCCCCCCCCTCCCCGATCCTCCAGCGGAAGGGGGCGGGTTCAGCTGGCTCTGCCTCTAGATAGGAGGAGCCAGCTGTCACTCACGCAGCTGGGTGGATCCAGACATAATTGTCGGGATCCGCTTCAGCTGCGGTGGTCTCAGTATACCGCGAGCTATATACTGAGCTTAGGGTGACGGGAGGACGCTAGTTTGTGTCCTCCCGTTACCCTAAGGAGAACTATGGGGAAAAGCAGCCCATTAATGTGAATTAGAGACAAGAATACTAAACGGCAGTCCAGTCTAACCGAGCACAATTCAGCTTCCAGTTATTCTTCCATAGTCTTGTCTCCTTGATGAAGGGGGATGTTTTCGGCCTCTGAAATGCGTTAGCTGTATTTGTATTTTGTTTGCCAGACGTTTAAAGACTCAGTACTCCTATCACCTGATTTGGCTCTCTCATTTGACCCAACTAGACAAAATGTGAGTTGGCTGCTTATTAATAAACGTGCATTAAATGACCGCCCCAGCATCTACAGGCACCAAATGGGCCCATAAGGGAGTATTTTTTGTCAAACTGTAAAATCAATGCATGATACTAAACACTACCTATGACTATGGGCTCTTCTTGTCACAGCCCTGAGGAAGTCATCCGGCCTAGTCATTATAAAAGAGCCCCCGAAAAGCTGGTGACAACTGGAACTTTTTTTTGGTCACTTGGTTACCCAACCACACCAAGGGACGGGTCACTACTTTCAACGAGCATAAAACATCTCTTCAAGCGCCCCGCGCTGCCGTAAACAATCTGGCCCGTTTGATTGACTGATGATATCATACAAAAACATTCTGTCCAAAAAAACCCCTGTACACCTAAGCAACTCAAGCCCAAAAATCTGCATTGACTCATAATAACAATAATATCGGTCAAGCAGGGACGCAATTGGAGAGCAGAAAGTGGACCACCGCTATCCCAACTGCCGCAGAGCCAAACCCTTCAGGCCATTACTTTTTATTTTTTCCCTTTACCGTCACCTGGT